ATATAGAAGCTTAGCGAATGATACATAAGCGATAATTTTTTTGGTATGTCAACAGGAATTAGAAAAGTGCCTCTCTCTCCACTGGGGGGGAAACCGCCTCCGCCGATGCTGGCGAAGTGAAGTGAGCAGAAAAAAACAGGCTATAAAGGATTCAGCCACGCTCTACCCGAGCATTTACATGAAAGAGGATTCAGGCCCGAAAACAATAGCGACCAAGCGGCTCCAACAGACATGAAGGCGTGACGGGCATCATCCCACAAGCAATGTCATGCTTTTCTTTGTTTTTGAATTTGTTTCCATTTATTTTTCCAAGCAGGTTTAGCAAATAATTTACCTGAACTCCTCCCACTTCACCATTGAATGCCAACTTCACTGAGCTAAACTTCAAGCATCTCGCTGAAGTGATAGGATAAGATTACAGTTCGAGCAAGGAGCAGATGAATCGGAGACTACGAGTAAAAATTACCATTTGCAGGGGCGCATGGTGCATAGTAGGCTAGGATGTTTTCGCCAGAATCGACAACCTGAATAAAACTACCAGATAAACCTAAGCAAAAATATTAAGGAAAATGGCAGGTTCAGATGTGTATGAGCAGGGTACAGCATCGTTGTGCGAAACCCATGAGGGGGGTCGTAGACTACAAATTATCGGAACAATTGGTCAGCACTATCAATAGCTAGCTATGAAACTCGTAAGGCTACTGTCGATGACTAAAACGTCTCAAAGAGATTCATGCGTATCGTCCTTTCCAACACCTTAAAAAAACATCTGCTTGCATGGACAAAACCACCACCTTCCCACGTAGAAGCGTTGTATGCAGGGGTTACTGCCCCACTCGGACAAGTCACTCGATCGATTACCAAAATGTACTCAATCCAAGGTGGAATATGTATTTTTAAGCCGTGTTGTAAGTGTCTTCGCGCGATCTTCATGAGTATCCTTACAATGAACGAGAGCAGTAGTAGGAGTCGACCGTTGATTGGCTTACAAGAGAAATTGGCCATACTCAGAATGATCCACTCTTAAAATATCTTAGCTGGAACTTATGGAACGAGGTGCGCTCTTTGAGGAAATTGTGAGCTTGCATTGGGGGTGTCTGATGGCCCACGTTTCAAGTATCGTTAGTTTGTGCAGAAAAGCTATCGAAGTTTGAAAGAAAGTTATTTTCTGTCTGAAGCATAAGAAACCGCTGTGATTTACTTTAACGCGTGTGTAATCCATCCGAAATTACACTCTCGGGTCGAAAATTCAGTTTGCGAGTACCTAGAAAATGCTACAGCAGAGATGCTGCTTCACAGTGCCGCCTCCCGTTTTCCAAAAATCCCACACCCAAAAAAGATACCGCCCACAAAGAAGTCCTGCAATTTCCACCCGGCCGACAGATCTGCTCCACCGCTAATTTACCTCGGAATCATAACGCGGCCGCCAGCGCTTGCGAATATTACATACATGATCCTTCTCGCAGGGCAAGGAATTTGAGCCGGAAAGTTGGAGTCGGGGGTGTCGTAACCTGATAGCACGCTATGTCTCACGCGAAGCCGACGATGCTGTCCCTTGTTGCTTATTAGTTAACGAAACCTCGTATTTCTACTTTTCTCACAGGGAAGAGAAAACACAAGAACCAGCAGGTGGCTGACTCCCCACAAAATGCTTAATAAATCAGTTCAGACAAGCAGTAACGGTGATAGTGACAAAAAGTCATGATTCGCTTGCAAGACAGCACAGAGTCCGAAAAAAAAAGAGTAAAGGTCAGCAATATGTGAAGGGATGAAGGAACGAACATGTGGGCAACACACTCGCAATGTGCGGTACTTACTACAGGCATTCTTAACACGACCCTCAGTTTTAAAGTCGGAAAGATAACATTTTCACTTAGAGTTCACGAATTTTCAAACTAAATCCACCACCTTTCAAGCCAAATTCAGGACTTACTTAACTATGCTTCACTGGACATTACTGCAAGCCCACTTTTGCGGCTTTTTCAAAGTTCTCGCAATTTTGGACTGCTGCGTGAGGCTCCGCCCACTTCGTAGACACCTCTCCCCTTTCCAAAAAATGGTGCAAAGGTTATGTCTCAGCTCGCATCCCATCGTCTTGCTCGTCACTCGGAACCAACTTGCCTGGTTATCTGTTGTTTGTAAGCAAAAGCAGAAGTTTAAAATAAAGCTTGAAAAATCACGGCCACGCTGGCATGTAGGCGTGGCTGTAAAGGCGCGGCTAGCGTCTAGTGAGGCATAGGTAATGAAGTCGTGAAAGTTTGGAAAATAGTGAATTTGAGACGTACGGACGAACGTACAGACTTCAATCGTATACAGAAGGAATTTTTTCCTGATAGTGAAGCACGGGTGAACGACAGGGTGAAATGCTTGGCGTGTGCGCTGTTGTTGTTCGTTGCTGTGTTTAGTCGGTGTTTTGGCTGTGTTTTGAAGCAATACAAGAAGCTCGGGCTAGCGACATCCATGACACCAACAGCTTATCAAAATCCCAGCACGGCTCTCAATGGTGGGAACTCGTGGAACCCCTGGAGTCCATGCTAAAAGAAACTACCATGTTTCCTGTGCAAAGTGTTGCAGCTTCGGAGAAAACCGGGAGAGCTGAAAAGGTCCTCAATGCAAGTTCATGTTCGAGGGCTAAAGAGGCGCCTTCTCAGGGGCCACGACATGTAAGGAGGGCCATACTGCTGGAATCAGAATTATTATGTAAGTGAAAGGGTGTCTGAAGCTGTGGCCGAAGTGATGCTGAAATTCTAACATGTATTTCTACTGCAGTGAAAATTGCTCTTAATCAGAAGTGATGCAGGTGTCAGAGGTTCCACAATGGAGGTAGTCGTCATGATGAACGACATTTACATCTGTACAAGTCACAAAAATGGTGTCTATAGGTACGAAAACAGCTTCTTTTAGGGAAAGGATATAGGGCGGGTGTGGTGTTACACAGTGCCTGTTTGGGGTCGTAGAATTCTGTCCTGGCGGGCGTATTAATCCTACTCCTCTTAGGGATTTATAGTGCCAACTGCGCGAGAAAAAAACTTGGAACAAGCTTTAAAAAGACACTCTTACTTGTTCTGAGCTATTTATTCTCTTCTTAAGCATTACTTTTGGGGCTAGAAGCTTAGAATCTAATGTTATAACACAATAACATTAAAATTTTGGCCAGGGGAGGTAGTGTAGAGGCAAGTACACCAGTTGACACAAGTGTGTTCTGGGAAGCAAACTCCGAACGGCTCCCACCCGAGCTAGCCGAGTATCCATGCCCGCATGAAAAGCCACTTAATACTAGACTCTTCTAAAAAGATGAAACGTCGTTTTTTCACACTGAGTCCTTCTCCTCTCCCTGACAGCCCTTCCCTCCTCCCTAACATTGTACAAGGCCAGTTAACATTCAAAGCCTGCCGGACTGCTAATATAGAAGTGAAATGTGCGCAGGATCCTGAAAAAGGATTCATGAAAGTGCTCCCATCTTCAAGCTTTTCGATGCAGTATTTAGAAGCTTGGCTTTTTGATGCAGTACAGTGCGGCTGAAATAGGGAAAATCGATGTTTATCATTCAAAAGAATTTTTGCAAATCTACCCGCTATGTGATGTGTTAGGAGGTGGTGGTCGCGGAAGAAGCAAAATGAGGAAGGGACCCAAAAACTGCTGGTGGGACGTCCTGTGAGTGGTTGCTTTCGAGCAAACAGTTCGAAAACACTTTGATATGTTACAAAGCAATGAGTAATATGCGTACAGGGGGGCCAATAAAAATAGTCATTCCGTGCGAGTCACAATATGAAGCGAAGTTTTTGCACGCCAAGACAGCAGGAATGCATATTTTATGTACCAAGGGGCGGAATATACCCAAAGATCTTCAGGTACTATAAGTCAGGAGCACGCTGCGCATTCATTTCATGTACATCAAAACATGAAGTCTATCTGCTCAGTCGCGGCCTGAGGAGAACGCCTTTGAATCACGTGCCTGCCAACAGGCTGGGGCGAACTTCTTGGAATGGAATCACGCATGGATAGCTACCTTGGAGACCCAGTAACTCTCTGCACTCTGTGCAAGACCTCAACATCGAGCAGCTCCGGCAACGTCGCTACGGTCCAGGACATCATCTTCACCCCATTCACCAAGGCGCGGGTTGATGGTGTGGACCGGCCGTACCTGGAATGGGAAGACCGATATTTTCTTTGTAGACCCCGACTGAAAGGTGAGCGGTTGGCGGTTACATCAAGTAATCGAGAAAAGGATATCCCCCTAACATTGTTGGGTCGCCGGTTACGTCTCCTTGGAGACCTTGTGCTGCTACAGGTTTGGGTGCCACCACATGGAATTGAAGGGTTTTGGATAAACTCCCGCCTACTTCGAATGGAAGGGCGTTTCGTACCCTGATGAAGGTGTAATATTGAAGTATGTCCCCTGACCTGAACCTACTCAATTACTCAGTTCGGGCGGAGCTTACAGGGTGGTCTACAGTGGCGGAGAAATAACGATCTCGCTCGAGTCGGTACGCCACTCACTTTCGCGCGGCCGAATCTCTCGATGGCGCTCCAGAAGGCTGGCGGAGTATCATTATAGTATTTAATGTGCTCTTTCAATATGGTAGTAAAAATGTCCGATAAAAATTTAATAAAGTGTAACTTATAGCGCCTTGAAAGTCATGGAGGCAAAATGACTTTTTTTTTGGCCCCCCCTAGTATGCTTTCTACATGGTTGGCAAACGCTCAAATGCTGGGATATATTCCTCCGCGCCGAACGCGATGGCTACTGTACCATCGACTTCCATCTGAGTTCTATTCGCCGCATCGGAAAAAGAATGAAGACACCGTGTCTCAGGGTTCGCGTTTAAGTCTTCTTTATCCATTTTTTTTCGGCAATTCTCCGAGAAGCCTATACTTCGTGCCCAATGCCATTAGAGATCTTTGAAAATGAATTCAATATCGAATGGGCAGAGGAGTGCCCCATCGTAGTAATCTTCAAAATTCTATCCAGGCAACGGATCTGATCAAACAACTCTATTTTTCGAAATAGCTTCTTTAGGGGTTCTTGATCTGAAGGCACGATAGTTTGGTACTCACAATCAGCCGCAGGGCGCTATATGGTGGGAAAATGACGAGAAAATAAAGTGAAACGGTCAAAACCCTGCGAAGAAAAGTCTTCGTTCTTCATGACTCGAAAGGCAATTCCGGACGAATCTCCCGTGGGCATCTTGCCAAAAACCGCTACCGTAGGTACGGCTGCACTTATGTACTCATATCCATGCGACCCTGCAGCCGCTTCATATTTTACTTCGCAAACGAAGAATACGAGCATCAGGTTAGGTAGTCCATTTGTGGGCGGGCGGGTGTGGTGCGACGCAGCGCCTGCTCGGGGTTGTAGAACTCTGTCCTGGAGGGCGTATTAATCCTACCCCTCTTAGGGATTTATCGTGCCAACTGCTTTTTAGTAAAAAAGTTCTCACAAATACAATTAAGAACTGCAGGTAAAACTTGGGCTTGTTCCAAGTTTTTTTTCCGCACCTGTATTAGCGTCATCTTTGCACTATATGTAACTGAAAGCGCCTTGAATATAACGTAGAGTATCCCGAACGTACCTGTGTAATCGTAATCTTGCTGTGCGGAACGAATGGACTGCTAAAGAGCTCTTCGAGATATTGCTCCTCTTTGACTGTCTAAAATATTGGAAAGAAAATTTAGGGAAGAAAAAGGGAGAGTGTCGAGGTATCCTTGGAAGGTAAAAGCAGAGGTGAGGGGAATCCGAAGGACATGGAGTTCGGATTGAGGGTCAGTGAACAGTCTCTTACCGGTATTGCCATCACGATGATTTTGTCAGGTTTTATCGGTGCGTGTGTGCGATGGATCCTTATTCTCAGTGTTTCATTAGGTTGAACTGTACTCAACGGTGGGGTGATCCTTAAAGTAGCAAGTTCAACATCGGTAGCTGATGACGAAGTACGTGAAGAAAGTCTACCCACCTATACAATGCAATGTCGGAGCACTTGACTTTGATAGCGTGTATCGTTTGAGTGTTGTTGTGGATCATTAGGAACTGGAATGGTTCAACGTAAAAGCACTCAATGTAAACGAGTTATTGAAAGCTTTGAGTCCCTTATATCAGTACCATAAATCATAACAATAGGAAATCTTGCGTCCAGGTAAGAAAACTTTTTCCTGCTTTGATCTCCTTAAAACGCGGAATTACCAGGGCGAAAGAAACCCAGGATGTTTCTCGACAAACAGGAACAGGCCCTCGCCCATCACCTTCATGTACACCAAAATATGAAGTCATCTCCAGTCGCAGCCTGACTGGAGAAGGCCCATGAATTCACATCACCTCCAAACAGCTGCAAACTTCTTGAATGGAGTCACCCATGGACAGCTACCTGGGACCAGCACTCTTGATCTGGAAGACCTCCAACATCGAGCAGCTCCGACAACGTCGCTACGGTCTAGGATATCATCTTCACCGCAGTCGCCAAGGCGCGGGTTGATGGTATGGACCGGAAGTTCCTGGAATGGGAAGACCGATATTTTCTTCGTGGACTCCGGACTGAAAGTGAACGCTGACTGTTACATCGAACAGCTCGAGGAGAATATCCTGCCTTCATGTCGTCGCCTGTACCGTCTTGGAAACTTCGTACTGCTACAGGATTGGGTGCCAGCACATGGAATCGAAGGGCGTTGGAAAAAACTTTCGCCTACTTGAAATGGAAGGGCGTTGAGTACCTGAAGAGACGGATATCTGAGTGTGTTACCTGACCTAAACCCCCTCAATCACCGGGTCCGTTAGGAGCTCAACATTGTGGTCTACAGTGGCGGAGAAATCAACGACCTCGCTGAACTCAGGACCGAATCACGGTCGCGTGGCAGAATCTCTCGATGGCGCTCGTCCAGAAGGCTGTGGCGAAGTTCCTTGATTATGTACAATGTGTTGTAGAATATGATGGTAGAGATGTCCAATAAGATTTCAAAGTGTAACCTATATCGCCTCGAAAGTCGAGGAAGAAACGTGTTCTTCGCTTCACCCCCCGTACATGTCACCTCCTATCACTGAAGAAAGTTTTTGCAAAATACAACCCCTCTTTCCAGCCGTAGGAGTCAACCAACGATATGGACAGCGCGCGTAAAACAGGAAAAATGAAGCTAAATGAAATTCTTCTCAGGTCAGATATGACCACTCCAAAGAGACCAAGTGCGACCTCCCCCCCCCCTCCCGCTGGCTATCTCCCAGCGAAAGACCCACACTGAATTATTGCGTAATATGCTATTTTGCGATAGTTTTTTAGCCCATCACGAAATGGCCTTCTGTGCGTAAGGCTGTTAAAGGTATGGCACGATATTTTCGAACTTGCTCTAAACAGTAGCAGAGGCCCATATATTGGAAATATGACGAAAAAGCGAAATGAAGAAGCCAAAAACCTGCGAAAAAAACTTTGTTCCGCACAGCAGTGGCGGATCATTTTCGGACGAATTTCCTTCTGGAGTCGTGCCAACAGCCGATAGGTACGGCTGCACATATCACCTGTATCACCTGTGCTCCCGTTGATCATCGAGTTCCTCGAGCGGGCGCCAGTAACGTCTCCATTCGTCCTGCAAGAGGACTCAGCTCGAGGGACACGATGAACTTCATACCATTCGTTCAGAGCTTTCACGAAGAAGTCTGACCATCGCGTAGGCGGTCGTCCAGGCGTTCGCTTGACATCCCGTGGAATCCAGTCGGTGACTGCTCTGGTCCAGCGGTCGTCCTCGAAACGCATGACGTGTCCGGCCCACCTGATCTTCGAAACCTTGGCAAATGCGGCGGCGTCTCTGATCTTCGATCGTTCGGCGGAGTGCGGAGCTCCGGATTCCCTTCTCTCACTTGCGTGCATCGGGAACTCCGACATCGCCCTTTCAATGGCGCGTCTGAAAACGCAACCGCGATTGCTCATCCTGCTTTCCGTAGAGTAACAAGTGCCGAGGCGGTAGTCAAGGGGCAGGAGGCACCGAATCGAGAGGTTGGTCACGGAGCCTTAGTGTTCCTGCGTCCTTCTTTCGTACTGCCCGTCGATGTTTTCGAAGCCTCCCTAGCCGCCTACGCTTCCTTCTTGCTCCAGTCACTCTGGAGTTCTAGGTCATGTCATGCATATGCTTTTCACGACCTAAGGACATACCTAGAGCATTCAGAGGTGGTCGTTCCGTGAGTGGGGCATCATATACCAATCCCTTTCTCATAACCATCGTCTCGTTAGATTCAGACGTAGACCGACGTATCATCTTCCACACGCGGCAGTCCGAAATTCAGCACCAGCATTCGTTCCGCTTGCTCGATGTTTGGTGTTATCAAAACGATGTCGTCAGCAAAGCGGAGATGGTGTAGTTGCCGACCGTCGATCTTCACTCCCATGTCTTCCCATTCCAGTTGACGCATGACGTTCTCGAGAGAGGCGCTGAAGAGCTTGGGCGAGATGGTGTCGCCCTGTCGGACCCCTCTCTTCACATCAATGATGATCTCCTTGTAGAATGGTGAGATCTTGGTCGTGAAGTTGCTGTAGAGCTCACGAAGAATCCTGATGTACTGAGTAGGACTACCCTGTGTCGCGAATCGCGAGGATCGGTCCCGAGGGAAATCCCTCAGGGTGCGCCGGTGCTCACGTGTAACCGTCGCCATGACCAACTATGACCTACCCGTGATCGCGCGGGAACGTGCGACGCCATATCGATGGCACCATCACGGCCCTCCCGGGTTAGTTCATCTTCTGTCTATCTACGAAGCGGTTGCTTTACGACTATTCCATATTCGGCGACGGACACGTGGGGCCTCGGCCCTTAGAACTGCTATCTTATGAATCTATCAAACTTCTCCTTGGTCAACTAGCAGGCTACGAGCGTTGGCCCGACGTGAGTTTTGTTTCCTAACGTGTTGTATTGTTCTCTAGTTATTCCATTATTCATTATTGAGTTACTAACATAATCTCATATACTTCGGACTCATAAATACATCAGTCCTCTCATGTATTTTGGTATAACGGTATAACCGCATGTTACTTCAACATATCGTACAGAGTGGCAACGGGGAGATTAGGGTCGGAGCAGTTAGATGTCATTAAGGTGCGAAGTGACGTACGATACCGGCCGGATCGGACGTAAGGCATCGGGATTAAGGTCTAGCTCATCGATCCCCTTGGTGACCCCCCACCGTGTGGCCTGCGGGTGGACACCGATCTACAACATGGTGCATCCGGTGATGGCGAAACGGACCCGTTCGGATATCGATCCAGTCGATCGATACCCGGTCAAAAGGAAGCCGCTACCACTCCCGCGCCGCGGACCATACAAGCACACAAACACCAAGGAACAGTGGGCAACGCAAGGTGATGTGGAATTAATTCATTAACTAAGGTGTTGAGTGAAGTTAAGAAGAACCCAGTAGTCCAGCATTTTACGACGTCCAAAGGCCTCAAATGGAAATTCATAACACCTCTTTCCCCCTGGAAAGGCGGATTTTACGAGAGGCTGGTAGGATCAGTAAAATCAGCACTGAAGAAAACCATCCACAGACGCACTGTCGATATTTGGACCTTACAAACTCTTATTTCAGAGATAGAATCAATGTT